GACGGCTAGCGCAAATAGCCCTCGTGTAGTTTTGCGCGAAATTCAAAAAACAACAACACACATGCATATATTTAGACCTTTCTTATCAGAAAATTTTTACCACAGACACAACGAAACTGATGTATATATATATGATACATGATAATCTACGTTTTAAGTTTCTCATCTTTGGGAGCAAATATTTTAAGAAAATCGAACTTATTTAAAAAATTTAATACAAATATAAAATATCAGATAAAATGATAATAAATTTTATTCTTTACATCAAGAGAATACAATCCCTATATCGATGATTTTATCACGCACTCTTAAAGTGACCTTAGAGTCAAAACCAAGTAAGGACCTAGAATTAATCCTTCTAATAGTGACCTTATTAAGTGTCTCCTGATGGTTCAAGTTTACGTATTTACAAAGCTAAAATCCAGGGCACGATTCCCCATGGTAGACAAGAGCGCACATAACTTATTGTGTAGCTTTGTTCTAAAACAACAACCTTATAAAGTTATCCTGATGACAACAAAGTTAAAAAATAAAAATTCGTAGGATTCATGTGATTTAAATGTGTTTGCGACAGGAAGGATTTAACAAACTAGTATATATGAAACAAATATAGCCAATAAGTTGTACAGTTCAATGAAAATTACAAATAATGAGTTTGATTTCATATTTTAGTTTTGAATATATTTATGCCCCTCTAACTGACTTATCGTTACACCGTATTGCTTGGCGCAGACAGTGCTTATTTTTTGAGAGAAGGAGCTGTATAGTCCTTTATATGAGTCTTACTTACTTATTTAAATACAAATATTTGTGTTAAAATTGGCTTTTCAAAAATAATAAATTATTAGTTTTTATAATACACAAAGTTTCACAGCGTAGGATATGTCTGCATTATATTCGCGTACTAAGATCTCCATTATATCCAAGTGCTAAGGATATCTCTTTATTATATTTACGTACTAAGGAAATATCTTCATTATATTCACGTGCAAAGGAGAACTATTCATGTGCTAAGGGGATCTCCCCACCAGATTCAAGTGCTAAAAAACTCATTGGATTCAAATGCTAAGAAGACCTCTCCATCAAATTCGAGTGCTAAGGAGATCCTTCCATCAAATTCAAGTGCTTTCTTGGTGTTTGTGATGAGTGTTTGATTGCATGTAAATATTAGATTCTAGAATTTTACTTACTGATCTAAAATCAATTATTTCAGAGATCAGTAATCCATAGACCCAGCATTTAAATTTTTTAGTCCTTAATAAAAGGACAACGCCTTTGCAAACTGATAACTCAGTGGCAAGCTCGAACGATTATAACACTAAAATTCGGGGCTTAATTCCCAAGGTGAGCATAGCGCATATTGTGCAGCTTTGCGATTAAACAAATAAAACAGATAATGCCTCTCAGCGATCCATTTTAGTTGTAAGACAAGATGCATTGTGGTTTGTTTAATAATCTTCTATAAGTAAAGTAAAATGTTCCCATTTTATAACACAACTTCACTAGCTCTGCATGTGTGTGACAGTCTAAAAACTAAGATCGGTGTAGTTTGCGGATAGGATCTGGCTAAGAACAGACAGCCTGTATTGAAACTTTGGAAATTACCTAGATATAATTAATGAAGATACGTTCATTTTCTAAGTTGTGAAACTTTCACAGACGTAATATTTGCATATTGCAGTAGGTATCTCTTCAAATGTTACAATTAGCAATAAAACGCCTAGAATCTAAATTAACGTGTTGTTGTTTTTTCACAACCAGTACGCTAAATACAGCATATTGTTATAAAACTACTCTCTTGTCGTGGGCGTGACAATACCTATTGACAGAGTACTTGAGTATAATCCCAAGCAAAGCTGGTAGGGGAGACCGGGGCTAGTTGTTGCGATTTTTAGAAAACGTCCAATATCTAGCGAAATAACCCGAAT